AGCACTGTAATGTGTAAAAGTGACACAACGACATAAAGTTTGACAGATTTGATATTTCAATAAATTAACGATACCTTTCTTTAATGTTATTGGAATAATAAGTTCTGAGGATATGCATTTTTGTGTTAGCACTTAGTAAAAATTTTGATTTCGGTATATGAAAAACTCTACATAATCGGCATAACTTATTAATTACAGTAATAATTTATTATTAAAAATATACATTGCATATATTATTAGAAAAACTTTCCACGTCATTAAATAACATATGTGGTAGTCTAATTAATTTTTTTATGTGGCAATAATAATATTTTTACTAAATGTGACCTGTCACGTACATTAGCATATGATTATGACAAGAGGGAATCCTTAATAGCCGCGGCATTTGAAATTATTTTAGGCAGAATTAGAGTATAGTAACGTACGAGGCAATTATGTTCCTTTTCATTAGCTATGCTAGCGTAAAAGTCCGTCTAAAATAATGGGAAACCACTGGAAATCAAAACTATTTGTTACAAAACTGGCAATACACAAAATAAATATAAAATTTCCTTTTCCAGGAACATGCTACATATTGCTCCTGAATTTACTACATATAACTGAGCATACATGCTACATATTGGTGCCTTTGGATAAAAGATTATAACATATGATGACCATGTAATTGCATACACACCTGGTCTTCTTTTGAGGAAAAGTTTTCTCTTCTCTACAGATAACTAGATAGCTAGTATCTTCAGTCTGTTTTAACAAAGGTTTTTTTCATAGTAATTCCAAAGCACAGACTTGCACAAACTTATGATTTATTTTTCACAGGAGTCTTCCCGACTTTCCTTTTTGGATCCTACCTAGCCTGACGTCATAATGATGTGGATGATATGGTGTCACATACATAATGCCATGCCTGATTTAGTCCCGGGAACTCTCGCCTTGAGAGGCTCTTATATAACAGAAAAAGTGACGAAATTTAGGAGCTATTAACGCCTATGTTAACCATTAAATTCAAGTAAAATGGGAACGGGCAATCAGGAGGGTAAGTTTTGTAGGAGAAAAAGTGGAACTGAACTTGTTTAACTCACGAAATTCGGAGAAATCGAGTGTGACGGACTGACAGACTGACCGACATTGATTTTTACACATATAGATTTTGTGCACCATCAATACCAAGCGTTGTGTACGAGTATACCCCAATCGATTTTATTACTCATCAGGATCTCTACCAGCCTACCCGCA